AGCAGGGCAGGACCCCAGCAGGACAGGACCCCAGCAGGGCAGGACCACAGCAGGGCAGGACCCCAGCAGGGCAGGACCCCAGAAGGGCAGGACCCCATTAGGGCAGGACCCCAGTAGGGCAGGACCCCAGCAGGGTAGGACCCCAGCAGGGCAGGACCCCAGCACGGCAGGACCCCAGCAGGGCAGGACCCCAGCAGGACAGGACCCCAGCAGGACAGGACCCCAGCAGGGCAGGTGTCTGGAGGTTTCACATGTGCAGTCGGACAACGACGAGCAGGGACAAAGTCGGACTCAGGACCGAGCCTCAGCAGTTTACAAATGTAGGTAGACAATGTCTAACAACGCGTTAAAATACAACAAAATGCGGGATAGTGTGTGTACTTTATTAAAAATTTTCAGGGGGAAGACCCCCAGACCAACCCCACCCCCCACTGCTGGCCCACCTGCTATCTGCGTTCTGCCATCAATTGGTTTACAAACCAAGCCCTGTTTATAAGTGAGGAAGTCCTCTGGATGGGTGACGAAACGTTTCTCACTTAAAGAAACTGGTCCAGATGTGACGATTTAACCTTTTTTTTTTGTTCCATGTTTATAACGTCTAAAAAACCTTTCACTGGCGGAACAGAAATACATTCAGTCCTCTTACATTAACCACGCCAAATACAAATTAATCTGGGATGTAGCTTTAGTGCACTAATTTTAAAAATAAGTTTAAACAAATGTATGACATCCATTGGAAAAGATGGAAAGAGTAACAACATCAAAGGTTGTTTAACTATATTCTAGAAACACAAGATTTTATGTGAGAAAGTAAAACATAAAAATCCCCATGAAAATGTCTTCACCTCCGTTTTGTCCTGTTCCAATACAAACTTCTGAGGGACAGAGCAACACACACAACTCAGCTGTGACGTTACGTCTCCATCTAAACAGATGCATTACCATCAGTTTAGGATTACTTGGTTGTTTTAGCACAAATATCCTGAAATTCCTGCTGAATTTGAGGCCGGGCTGCACCAAAAGTGCTACAGCTCACTGCTGCCGTGTTCACTCAGAAACGAGCATGGAGCTCCACGTGAAGAACAAAGGCTGCTGTGACATTTTACACTGAAGTTGTTTAAAGATCACATTGACCCTCTTTGGGTTTGGTTGTGTTTAGATTAGCTGTTAGCTTGTCAGTCCTGTCACAATGAAACGATTTCTTCAAACTGAAGTGGTTCAGATACAGAACAAATGGGATACTAATTAATCAGCACTTTTCTGCTGACCCCTGTTTTTAAATGTGTAAAATATCATGTTAGTAGCATTAAATGAATATTTTCTGATTTGCTACAGTAGTGTACACAGTCTTGAATAAAGGGAGTTAAGTCACATACCTTGGCCCACCAGCTGGACAGAACAAAATAAGTGTTGACGTTCTCCTCTCCAAACTGTTCTGCCACATACAGACCAAGAGAACCGTACTTGTCATATATGTTCTTCTTGGTGGAGTCAACCAGGATCGAGTGAGCATTATTTATTTCTTTAAACTTTTCCGCTGCCTCAGGGTTGTCTGGGTTTTTGTCAGGATGAAACTTCAGTGCCAGCTTCCTGCACAACAAAAACAGGAAAACCAATCAACAAGTAAACGATGTGGTGCTCAAGGTTTTGGTTAAATATTCTTCTGGATTTCCACAGGGTGGGAGGTTTTGGGTGTGAGAGCCAATAGAAAGTAAGAAAGTCAGACTAAATGTTTCCTGTTTAATGTCACTCATGATTCACAAAAGTTATTAACTGTATGTCTGATCTATTCTGAAAAACGCTGCTTCAAAACATTTCTGGCTCAGCGGCACCAAGTGGAACACCCATGTCCCGTCACAGAGGGATTTGAATAGTGAATGTTTGTAGTTTTCAGGACGAGTGTTCTTCTGGACTGTGACTGAACAGAATGAAGTAAAGCAAGATATTCAAGTGGGCAGGAGTCACCGTGTAGAAGAACACAGGTAGATTAGTTTTCTTGTCTGAGGCAGTGCAGAGTGACGGATCCTGGCGAGTGGAGGAAGCAACTTTATCCACCACCAGATGCAACAGTGGAGCCCTGGGGTGGCCAATGGTGGCCTTGGCCCCTATAGAATAATTAAATCAGGTGACTTTTCAAGTTGTGCTCACAACATGCTCGGATGGGTGTAGGATATTGTATTTCCAATTCTCCCTCTTACGGCTCCACGCCATTAAACAACAAAGGTCAAAATAGTCCAACATTAGGTTAGTGGTTCTGGTTGTTTTGTAAGCCCCTCGACTGGAGTGAGTGAGTGGTTTTGATACATGTTTCTGTTGATCATTATGCTTTGTTCACCATCCTTATTCTTAATGTTGTTTCAGTTTGATTTATTTTCTTTGTGAAACAAGCCTCTCTGGGTTGGGAGTAAGGTGCTGCCTCCAGTGGAGGAGGTGAAGTATCTTAGGGTTTTGTTCAGTAGGGTGTAAGAGCAACAGACAGCTTTATCAGTGTTGCTTACTCTGTGACAGTCTGTTGTGCTGAAGAGGCTGCTGAGCTGCAAGGAAAGGCCCTGCTTAGTAGTTGGTCTAGGCTGCTACACTCACCCATGGTAAAGATTCTGAGTAGTGACTGAAAAACAAGAATACATTGAAAAATGAGTTTTCTCTATTGGGAAGCTGAACTTCGCCTTACAGACAAGGTGAGCAGTTCAGTTATCCAGGAGAGACTCGGAGTAGACCTGCTGCTCCTCCACACTGAGGAGCCTGTTGAGGTGGTTCAGGCAGCTGATAAGGATTCTCCCTTAATGGAAGGTGTTCTGGGCATGTCTGACTGGAAGGGGAGTCCTAGGAAGACCCAGGACACTCTTGAGACATGATATCTTTCAGCTGTCCAAGGAAAACCTTGGAGTCCTGCCAAAAGAGCAGGAAGAGGTGGCTGTGGAATGAGATGTCTGGACCTACCTGGCCACTCAAGCTGCTGCCTCCGAGACCCGAATGCAGAACGAGGATGGATGGATGGAAAAAAGTTTGAATGAATGCTCCTAATTAGCACTTATAAGACTAAAGGCTGTAGTATACTCGCGCATCCCATCAGCCACACAGAAACTGTGTGCTCTGTCTGCAGAGGGTTCAGACTTCATACTCGAACGTCCACCCTGAGCGGCTGCAGAGCAGCTCCGCAGACAAGGGGCGTTTACCTTCGGGACAAATTGAGGTCGCCGATTGGTCATTTGCTGACACGCCTACTGGATTGATTGACAGGTCGCAAAAAAAAAGAAAGAAAAGAGAACTGGCAGCCCCAGCTGCAGCAGTGTTCTGTGTTTATATGTTGTTAATAAAAAGTTCTAAAAAAATAAGAAAAACAGGGAGCGCTGGTCCTGCAGCCCACACTCTCTCCAGAGTGCAGCCACGCTGGACCTGAATTTAAGTCGCACTTAACCAATTCCTTCATTTCTCACCATTTCAGTCATGGCGTCAACGGAGGAGGAAGAAATCGCTTGCTTTTTTAAAAAAAAGAAAAAAGAAAAGGCCAGATCAGGGATGAAGAAGGGAAATTAAATACATTGGTGTCGCATATAAAACAGTCTGTTGCCAGGCAGTTTATTGTGCGACACAGAGTACGTGTACGTGGTCATAAAAATTGAGCTTTTCACGGACATGCCCTGTGGGCGTCCGCTTCAACTCTTGTCCGGTACGCGTGGACCTTTGCGGACTGACATACACGCAAGTATACTGGAGGCTTAATAAGACAGAGCAGGACAGGCATTTAAAAAAATTCTTCCCTCTGTCAGAGTCAGAGTTTCTTTATTTGTCATTCACAACGCATGTGGTACAAGTGGTGGAACAAAATTATGTTCACAGGGTCCCAGTTACATCCAACAAAAAATGTAAGAGAAGAACTGTAATAAGATCTAAGATATCCTGATGCATGCTCAATAATCCAGGTAGAAAAATCTAAAAAAGTTCAATCTGGTCCTTTGGACATTAAAAAAAACAAAACAAAGCAAAACAACAAAAAAATGTAGAAACGTTTCGTCTCTCATCCGAGAGACTTCCTCAGTCTGAGGTGCTGTTTTCAGCTCAGTCTCTTAAATAGCATCTTCTCAGAGTGGATCAACCAGTTTTGCTGCTGACAACCAGAACCAGCTGATCACATGCTCAAGAAGGACCATCAGCCTAACAATGGATCATTAGCACCTGATGGCTGTTTACTATTCACAGAGGGCTGAGTGATACTAGCAATCACAGCATTGTAAGAGGGGGACAATTGAACACAGAGGCCTCCACCCCTGTTTAATGATGGACGGGTTCTTTTCACAAAGATGGCCTCCTTTACTCCTCTCTCAAACCATCGTTCCTCTCTGTCCAGGATGTGAACATCTTCATCCCTGAAAGAGTGACCGCTGGCCTGGAGATGAGTGTAGACCGCAGAGTCCTGGCCTGATGATGTTGATCTTCTGTGCTGGTCCATCCTTTTGGCCAGTGGCTGTTTTGTTTCCCCGATGTAAGACTGATCACAGCCCTCCTGACACTGAACAGCATACACAATATTACTCTGTTTGTGCCGGGGGACTGGATCTTTGGGATGAACCAGTCTTTGCCGTAATGTATTTTGGAGTTTAAAAGCCACTGGGACATTATGTTTAGAAAATAAACGTCTCAGTTTCTCTGATACTCCCTCAACATATGGAATGACCACTGGTCTGGGTCTGGGTTCCTCCTTTTCACCTGTTGGCTGACTGGAGTCCTGTTTGGGTTTCTTGTCTGCTTTCAGGAAGGCCCAGTTAGGATATCCACATTGCTCTAGAGCCTGTCTTGTGTGGGATTTCTCCTTCTGCCTGGCTCCTGAGCTAGTGGGGATGCTGTCTGCTCTGTGGTACAGAGTCCTGATGACTCCTAACTTGTGCTCCAAAGGGTGATGGGAGTCAAACTGCAAATACTGGTCTGTGTGGGTGGGTTTGCGGTACACCTCAGTTTGCAAATGTCCTCTATCAGAGACTGAGACCTCACAGTCCAAGAAAGCCAACCTGCCATTTTTTTTCATCTTCTCGTGTGAACTTGATGTATTTATCCACAGAGTTGATGTGGTCAGTAAAATGTTGGACTTACTGAGATTTAATTTTAACCCAGGTGTCGTCAACATACCTGAACCAATGACTTGGTGGTGTCCCTGAAAAGGACGTCAAGGCTCTCTTTTCTACCTCCTCCATGTACAGGTTGGCAACAATAGGAGAAACTGGAGACCCCATAGCACGCCCATGTTTCTGCCTATAATATTGCTCCCCATATGTGAAGTAGGTTGACTGCAGGCACAGTTTCAAGAGTTGACACAGTTGTTCTGTGGAAAGCGTGGTCCTGCTGCTCAGAGTGGTGTCTGATTTTAATCTTAAACTGACCACCTCTACTGCATCATCAACAGGAATGCACGTAAAGAGTGATGTGACATCAAAAGAGACCATTGTTTCATCAGTCTCCATGATGACATCCCTCACCTTATCCACAAAGTCCATGGTGTTCTGTATGTGGTGTTCTGAGCTGCCAACTAAAGGGATGAGTACAGACGCCAGATATTTGGAAACATTGTAAGTGAGTTAATCATACTAACAATTGGTCTTAAAGGTACACCTTGTTTGTGGATTTTAGGTAAACCATACAGACTAGGTGTGGCCTCCCCCGGGTACAGTCTGTGGTACAGAAAACTGTCAATAGCCTTGTTCTGCTCCAAATTTTTCAGGCAATCTATTAACTTCTTCTTGTAACCACTTCCTGGATCTCTTTTCAGAGGTTCATAAGTGTTTAAGTCACTAAGGAGTGTCATAACTTTCTCATGATAGTCTTTCTGGTTCAAAATCACTGTGCACCTTCCTTTGTCTGCTGGGAGAATGATGATGTTTTTGTCCTTGCTAAGAGTGGTGAGTGCATCCCTCTCCTCTCTACTGATGTTGGAAGGTGGTGGTTTGGCATTGCTGAGGCAGGATGAAACTTTGATTGTGAGCTGTTCTGCTTCACCCTCTTTCATTTTGTTGTTGCGGATGGCTGACTCAGTAGCTGTGATCATCTCCACCAGAGGAATTCTACTTGGTGCAACCGCAAAGTTCAGTCCCCTGGCAAGAATCTCTATCTCTGGCTGGTTGAGCTGTCAGATAAATTTTTCACCCACTTTTCTGTCTCCCTGGCATGTAATTGACTACTGGAGTGTTGTCCTACACTGAATGTGTTGTTATTGGAAAAGTGATGGTGTTGATGAGTTATTAGTAAGTTAAACTTGTTTTGTTGTCGAGTCTTGGACTTGACATGCTGTGCTAAGCGTGCCTGATCATGTGATCAGCTGGTTTTGGTTGTCAGCAGCAAAACTGGTTGATCCACTCTGAGAAGGTGCTATTTAAGAGACTGAGCTGAATACAGCACCTCAGACTGAGGAAGTCTCTCAGATGAGAGACGAAACGTTTCTACATTTTTGTTGTTGTTTTGCTCTGTTTTGTTTTTTTGAATGTCCAGAGGACCAGATTTAACTTTTTTAGAAGATCTAAGATATGAACTAAGAAAAACAACTAAAAATACACTAAGCACTAATAGCATAAAAACATTACGTCAAACAGCAGCACGAACAT